GGAGGGGCGGGGAGCCAGTGTGGTGATACGGCAGCTGTCTTGAACTAGCAGTCTTGGGAGAGTGAATGCAGATGAGGGTCAGAGAGGTTATTTACCTGCCCAAGACCATAGCGACAGTACATTGTGAAGCCTGGAGTCAAAACCTGAGTTATGCTCCTGAATTATGCTCCTTTTAAAGCCTCCTTCAAGTGAAGCCATGTCAGCACATGACAAGAGATGGGGGCGGAAGCGCTCGGAAAACTAGTCTTAGGAGCCCGCTTTCTCATCATAGATTCCTGGCTCATCCTTTTTCTGTTAAGTGACGGGGGTCAGACCATTTGCTAAGCGCCTTCCCATCTCTAACTCTGTAACACACACGAAGACCAATAAAAGATTTCCAAGTTAAGCCAAGGTAAATCCCGCACAGTAATGTGCTCTCTAGCCATCTACCAAAATGAGAGAAAATAATCTTCTTTTCTAAATGTTGTTCAGGAATTACGCCCCGTTTATTACAGAAAAATATTATTTCATTGTTACTCAAGACGTGTTTAAGAAAGCCATGCTTTTCCCATCCCTTAAAAAAAACCACCCACAGTCCCTCACTGAACAGCTCAGTGGAATAGTAGAGATAGCCATCTTTGGGTAAGTCTTTACATTTGAGTCTGGCATTTGGTAATTTTCTTTTTTACAGTTTATAGTAAACACTTTCTCATTTTTCTACATGGAAAATAGTTGCAAAACATTCCACTTGGTGCAATGATTCTCATATGGGTAAGAAAGTTATCAAAATCTCTTGGGCTTTTTCACATTACACAGGCCATTCTTCCTGCCCCCTAGTCTGATTTGTCTTCCTGGGTAGGGAGCTCTACCCCGTGATTGGAAATCCCTACTATAGGGAGCTCACCTTGATTGTGGAAGTATCTCGTCCCTTTAAATTTGTTCAACAGATATTATATAAGTACTACTGAGAAGCACGCACTGTTTAAGCTACTGGAGAATCAGTACCAAAACAGGTACTATCTGTGCTGTCGTGGAGCTTACATTCTAGACTCTAGAATTTAAGAGGGAGGAAATAATATAATTAGGCACATGCTAATAAGCTCTTTGAGTAAGAATAAAGCTGAGTCAGTGTGGGAAGGGGTACTGTTTTATACATCTCCGATGTGACATTTGAGTAGGTACCTGAGGTGAGGGAGCTAGCTATGCAGATATGTTAGGCAGAGAGAACATCGGGTGGAAAAAACCCCAGGCTGGAGTGTACTGGATATCTTCAAGTGGCAGCAAGGAGACCACTGTGGCCAGAACTCAGTGAGCAAAGGGAAAATGGTAGCAGATGAGATCAGAGAGGTAACTAGAGGTCCCAGTCATGTAGGGCCTTGTAGGCCACAAGAAGGGCTCAGCTTTATTCAGAATGAGATGGGCGTCTTTAGAAGGATTTAAACAGAGATGAGACATGATCTTAAATTGTACAGTGATTACTCAGGCTATATGGAGAATAGAGTAGGGATGCAAAGGTAGAGCAGGGACTCCAGTTAGGAGACTGGTCCAATACCATAGTCTAAGTAAGAAGTGATAGTGGCTTGTCCTAAAGAGGTAGCTATGGAAGTGGTAAGAGAAAAACAGGTAAGAGTCTGGATATATTTTCCTTGAATGTGTTAAAACAAGAAGGTTGAGGGCCGGCCGAGTGGCTCAGTTGGTTAAGAGCTCGCTCAAGAGTGCAAGCTCTGAGCAACAGTGGTTCGAGGCCCACCCGAGCTGAGTTGCTGCTGAGCTGCCAACAGGTGGCAGGATGGCTCAGCTAAAAAATAAATAAATAAATAAACAAACAAGAAGGTTGACTGCACTGCATGGTATCTGCATTCAGCAGTTTCTTCTTGCTGGGTGTTCAAAGGACAGTGCGATATAAATTCAGTATGTGGCATTGTTGGTTTTCTTATCTTCGTGCATGTTAAACCTGGTATTTTTACTGATACAGTATTAAAAGAAAAAAAGGTTGATAACACTGAATCATCCAATTAATGGATGAACCATTCCCAGGTAAATTCTTTTCCAGTTTTTTGTTCATGTTCAGTAAAAACAAGCCTCTAATTTTTGCCTGTTTTTCACCCATAGGTACCAACATGTGTTACATAGAAATCTCATTTATTTGGCTACCATCGCTGATGCCAACCCAACTAGTCCTTCGAAAATAATGGAATAATCTTCCAGTTGGCGGTTGTGAGGAGTAATTGAATGTAATCCATTTCCTGTGAAATGGAGACAGGATTCTTTACCAACTCAGCTGCTTAAAACATGAATGAGGCCTCTGTGGCGCTTTTAAAAGTGTGACAATGTGAGAAAAGCTACTAAGTTAACTGTATTTCAATGTAAATATTTATTTTAATAATGAAGCAGATTCCCTCAAGTTGCCTCCAGTTGTCCTCTTTCCTGAAATATTGGATTGTCGGAAAAGTCATGACATATTTTTTCTATGTTTTTCGTTGCAAAAATGCATCCTGACTTTTCCGACAACCCAGTAGATGTGTTTGGATAACAAAGACATCACTGGCATCTTCAAGTCTCCCTTTTTAGTTTCAACCTGAACAGGAAACTGAGCAACTGTTCGGTGATCAGCAGGAATTGGTGACTCCCGACTGAGACGCTGCCAGATAGACATGTAACTGTGTTCTCCTTTCTACCAGTTTGCAGTCAGGGAACCCCTGCCTGCTCTTTTCAGATTGCTTTGAAGTAAAGCTTGCCTTTCCAGAAAAGACTAATACTGAGGTATAGAAATTTTCATGTAATAAGTGTCCCATTTGGTTTTTCAGAAAAACTGTAAGGACTTAAAAATACATGTAATACCACCGTTATCATTGCTAACCAAATTAATAGTAATTCATAATTATTAACTAATATCTAGTGATGATATTATAGAGGAGGAAATACATCTTTTCCCTTCCCTCCTTCTAAAGTTCTTGGCTGGGGCTCTATAGCAAAAGGCAGATGAACAAAAGAAAAGCATACAAGGTTAAGTTTTACGTGACGTGTGAGCCTTCATAAAGAAATGAAGAACCAAAGCAGCAGTTAAATGTGAGCATTTTTATACTAGGTTTGATGAAGAATGGGAAGTCTTGGGAAGGTGTGATAGGACAAAAGGGTATGAGCTAAGTGTAGTGAGCTGGGGGCAAACCTAGCAAGGCCTTTTCGTTCAAATTCTCCGTGTCCCTCAGTCTTCAGAGATAAGGCTGCTCTTTTCCTCTGGGTATAATGAGAGCACCTCTTGTCTGAGGGTCTCATGACCTGCTTCAGGGGAGATCAGGGAGTCCTTCCATCATATGCCGTTTCTCGATTACTTCAGCTTAAAACATTCAAGATGCCATATTTTGGAGTAGCGTGTCCTGAACCCAGCTGAGGTTCAATTTTCTTCAGTTATCACAAAATGTCCTTTTGCCTGAATCAGGATTCAAACAAGATTCACACACGGCATTTTGTTAATGTCTTTTAAGTCTCTTTAAAAATACTTAACCCTTTTTTTCTTTGCCACTTGTTGAAAAATGCCATCTACCCTAAAACTTCTCACATTCTGGATTTGCCTAGTTATATCCCTGTTGTGTCATTAAATATGTCCACTATCGCCCACTTGTCCTATAAACTGGTGTATCTAGAGTCTCATTCAGACTCAGGTTCTAATATTTTTGGCAAGAATACTTCATAGGAGGTGACAGGTACATGCTTTTGCATCACAACAGAAAGTGACCTGATTTGATTTATTATCAATTTCCCAATAGCCTTTCACTTCAATTATGATCTATTCATCTGTGATCTATTACTTCATTAGGGATTGCATAATGGTGCAATCAACTGCTTAAAACATTTCTATTTTATCATTCCTTCTGCCTCTATTGGCTTTATTCTAGTATATGTGCTGCTGAAGCAAGCACCATTGGCTTTGTTCTGAACCCAAACTTAGAATATCAGGTTCCTGGCTTCTTTTGTTGGACTCAAGGGTTGCAACCCAGAGAGGCTGTAATGCGTGAATGGTGAAGAGAGAGCTAATTTTGAATCCCAGAACTATCGCTTAACCTCTGAAAGCTGTTTCCTCACTTCTAAAATGGGGGTAATGAAAGTAGCACCTGCCTCCTGAGGTTGTGAGATTGAGATAATGCAGTTGAGAGCTGGGCACATGGTAAACGGAATGCATGTTAGCTCTGATGTAGTATCTGAGGGCTCTGGCCTTTTCTAGGTCTTCTCAAGTCTGGGCGGGTGCCTGTTCTTTGCTCCCTCACCCATTCTGCCATCTTTGGGGTTCTAGCCCTATTGGTCATGGGGCTGTTGCCATACTCTACTAAGCAGGCTACTCATGGGCCTGATCTGGTCAGCAGATATGGTGGGCGCTGCACAATGTTTTTAGTTTTGAATAAGTTGCTAACATTTAAAAATATGAGGATTCCCCATTAAAGTCTGGATTTCTAGCAATGCTGGTCTTATAGATCTGCATAGCAACCAGCAGCTGGAGTGAGACGGCAGCTGCCCCTCTTTACTAGGCAGCCTGACTTGTATACGTGGGACCTGGCTCTGGCTGGAATGTGAGCACCAGCTGATGTTTCAGTTTAGACTTCCCCTGAAGCAGAGCCTGAGACATGGCCTTGGGTGCAGGTTGTTTATTTGGGAGGTGATCTCAGGAAGCACAGGGAGACAGAGAATGACGAAAAGCCACTAACGGTGTATTTCTGAGCTCACTGCTATAGGCAAGAGGGGCCTAATTCTGCACCTCTTTTCTCCCTTAAATTATAAAAATTTAAAAGTTACTTTGGGGCAAGGTTAGAGCAGGGATCCCTGCTTGAGGCTGAACTGTGTATTACAGAGGATAGACTGAAGGAGCTGAGAGGCAATAAATTGATAACCAATATACCACTGGGATAACGTGTCCTTTCTTTAATCTGTTAATATGGTGAGTTATAGGAATGATTTTCTGATGTTGAACCATCTTTGCATTCCTGAGTTAAAGCCAATTAGGTCATGAACATTTGGGGGTTAGTTAAATACTATTAAATTGAATTTCCTAATATTTGGATTTTTAAATCCATGTTTATAATGAGATTGGTCTATAACTTTCTTGCTCTGTCCTAGCAGTTTCTTCTCCTTAACCACAGACCAAATAGCACACCTTACCTTCACATCATCTGAAATATAATTTCAACTCACAGGACAGAATAAGAATTTTGAGCAAGGAGGGAACTTAGATAGAAGGTATTTCATCCTGCCTATTTTACAGATGAAGAAACTGAACTACAGAAAAATAAAAGATAAAATTCATCGAATGACTTCAGATTAAAAACTGCTTTGCACAGCCACTATCAAGACAATTAAATGATAAGCCGCATACTGGGGGAAAATATTCGCAATCATCTATCAACAAAAGATTTGGACTCAGAAAAATCACACATATCATCTACACAACAAACATGTGTATCCAGAACTCTTGCATTCAATTAAACGAAGAAGGATTTTAAATGGGCAAAAGACTTGAACCGACTCATCATAAAAGATGAAGAATTGCCATGAACAACTATCCCAGTGACGTGGGCGCCAAAGCAGGAACGAACGCACCCCTCAGCCTAAAAGGTCCGTGAATGAAACGAACGGTCTAACAGGATAGCGTCATAACTACCTCTTGCGAAAAAGAAAGCCAGCCAAAGTTCCCGTGGGTTTACTAAACCTCAATGACTTCATTCACACAGCTGGCTCTCAGGTGTCAACTGCAAAGTCTCGCGACATCGGGAGATGCGCTGAAGCTCACGGACCTTGAAAGAGGACGAGAGAGAGTAGAGAGCGCAGGCGCTTCCAGGGCGCTCAGATTGGGTGACTGACTCCAATGGCAAAGAGGGAAGGGGCTGGGCAGAAACAGGGACCAGCTCAGGTAGAGGAGCGCCGGGGTGGAGGCTTCTCGAGACTCAGACAACGCCGACGTGGGCTTCCTTGCGGTTAGCCACCCGCTCCGAAACGGTGCTCTCGCGGTACTTGCCCTGACTCTCGCGAGGTTTAACGTGGCACTGGGAGGCCGGGCCCAGGCAAGGGGGGGGGTGGTCCGTTAGCGGCCTTGGGCTCCGGTCGCCGTGGCCGCGCTTTCTCCTCTGCGCACGGGGAGCTGTTCAGGCTGAAGGCCAGCCAGGTGAAGAGCTCGCCCGCATGCGTGTGCGTGCCACATGGGAGCCGGGCGGTCCGGGGCGGGCGGGGGCCTCGTCTCACCCTTCCGCGCTGTCGCGACAGGCCGGCGCGAGGCGCCCGCGGCCCGGGCTCCGCCCCGGCCCCCGCCCCGGCTCCGGATCTGACCACTTTCCTCCCCGTCTCTCCCAGCTCTCGCCGCCGCCTCGGTAGCGATGGGGGCGCAGGACCGGCCGCAGTGCCACTTCGACATCGAGATCAACCGGGAGCCGGGTGAGCGGGAGACTGGGGAACCCTGCTGGGGCCCGGGCTGGCCTCGGGGAAGGGGCGGGGCCTGCTTTCATCAACTCTCCCCCAGGGCTTTTTGGGAGCGGGTAGGCGCAGGCAGCGTTCCCTTTTCTCCTGAGTTAAAATCTAGGGATACAGAGGAGGGTGGGTCGGGCACACCACTCCACTCTACTCAGAGTCTGGGGCCTCGCCCTCCCAAACTCGATGTCCCCTTGCACCCCCAGACCAGCGCCCAGAAAAAGGGTGCAGTCCTTTCAGGACTGTCTCTCTCAGTGTCTCTAGGAGGCCAGCACTCCCAATTTCGATTTCAGTTTCTTCTTCTGTACTGTGAGGTTTGGACTCGCATGTTCTTTATTTCCTAATCCTTGAATATCATTAATGGGTTAAACCCGCCTGTTTATTCCTTACATATGTTAGCCAGAATTTCTTGGTTCGTGGGAAAATGACCTAGCAAAAGTCTTGTGTAATAAACCAAAGCATTCTGTACCTAGACTGGCAGTATGCATGCACACAGCATTAATGTTTTGTCTGCATATTTTGTTGAAAATATTTTCCTCTAAAGGGTAATTGTTTCATTCTGAGTCACTGTGTGCAGGGTCCCAGACTGTTTTCTTAGCTTTTTTTATTATCTATAACAGAACTTTTAGTTAGAGGCATATATACAATTTTTGTGCAAGTTCGTGTTCAGCAGATTCTTATTGAGAGCCTCCTGTTCTCGACTCTGGGGATACAGCAATGAATAAAACAAAGGCCTCTCTTCCTTGTTTATATTCTGTTGGGGGAAATACAGACAATAAATCACACGGTAAAAGTGGCTTATAATAGGGGTACTATTTTAATAGATTGGTCAGAAAAGGCCATTTTGAGGAGATGACATTTAAATGGACATCTGAAGGAGGTGGGGAGGTGAGCCATGTGGATATCCTTGAGAAGAGCATTCCTGGTAGAGGGAACAGTTAGTCCAAAGGTCCTGAGGAGGGAGTGCATGTTTAAAGACCCTCAAGAAGCGTAGGGTGGCTGGAACAGAGAAGGGAAGAGAGTAGCAGGAAATGGCTCTATAGGCCATAGTAAGGACTTTCTCAATGAGATAAGTTATTGAAGAGATTTGAGTTAAGGACTGATGCGATCTTAGAAACTGTTGCATTATCTCATATTTTGAGCCTTGATGGACCTTAATCCTTATTCTATCGTGAATCCATGCTTCAGATAACAGGGCTTATGTTTTTTTAAGAATTAAAAGTAGCAGACTCCAGAGAAGTAGAAGTAAAACAAAGGTTCTGTAGCCATGGAAAGTACTCCTTTCCTAGTACATGTTCATATCCTAGATTTGCAAATAACCGTTTTGTGAAAAATCTCAGAGTATGTTTGGTAAATGTTGAGTGAACTTCAGTCCCCAACATCCAAGATAATTCATTATAATACCATCCTGGTAGAAGTGACTAGAACTCTTCAGAAGACTGAATCATATATAAAACAGGAAATGCTTACATTGTTCTAGGTTAAATCAGTTGGTAATAGGTAATTTCATATGGTTCAATCTCATGTAATTCTAGCGCTTTTCAGCATATTATCTAAGTACAGTAGATACTTGATTTTTACACAACTTTTAAGGATCACTTCAATTGTTTGAGGATCCTGCTTTGTAAGATTTAACCATTAGCACATTTGTCTTTGAGTACTTATTCAAGTAATACTTTTGATTTCTTGTATAGTTAATAATTCACGATGGAAATACAAAGTAATATCTTTGATTTACTTTGATAAGCAAAGATCATTTAAGAGTAGCCACACTGTCCACATTAATGAGATCAAGAAGTATTGATAAAAATCCAGTTGAATAAAGCACTTTATGCTTTTCCATTACTGCCAATCGAAATGTGTATATTTTATAGCAATCAAGTTAACTAGACTTTTGAATTGTAAAGACACCGAATGAATGCAAGTATATGTTAAAAGAAGAAAAGTTTTAAAATTATATGAGTTTTTTTCTGTGAACCCAATAAGACGGTTCCTATTTGAAATAATTCCAGGATTGTTCCTTAGAAATCTTTTTTGGAAGGTTTTAAACTAGATTTTCATTTTTTAAATAAAGAACTATTCATGTTATTTCTCCTTTGGTGATATTTTATAGTTTGTAGCTTTTAAGAAGTTGGTTTATTTTACTAAGTTGTCAATTTTATGTGCATAGAGTTGACTTAGTCCCTTAATTTAATATCTGTGGGATCTGTAGTGATACCTCCTCCTTCATTCCTGATAGCAATAATTTGTGCTCTTTATCTTTTTTCTTTGGTCAGTTTGGCTAAAAGTTTCTTAATTATCATTCCAGAGAACAACATTTTGATTTCATTGATTTATTTTCCTTTCTGTTTTCTGTTTTCAGTTTCATTGATTCCTGCTCTTATCTTTATTTCCTTTCTATTGCTTGCTTTGTCTTTATTTTGCTCTTTTTCTAGTTCTTTAAAGTGGAAACTTGGATTGTTGACTTGAGACCTTCCTTGTCTAATAAATCCTTAATGTGATAAATTTCTCTCTATACAAAGGACCCACACACAGTTTGTGCACCCCATGAATTTTGATATATTGCTCATTTTCTTTCAGTTCAAAATATTTTCTAATTTCCTTTGAGACTTAGTCTTTGACTCATAACTGATTTTAGAAGTGTTTTAATTTCCAAGTACTTGGATGTTGCAGTTGTCTTTCTGTTAATGATTTTTAGTTTAATTCCATTATGGTCAGAGAACATACTTTGTATGATCTCAGTTGTTTTATATTACGGTTTGTTGTGTTCTTTTTTGGTGAATTTCCCATGTGCACTTGAAAAGAATGCATATTCTGCTGTTTTTGTGTGGAGTGTTCTATAAATTTAGATCCAGTTGACTAATAGTGTTAAATTGTACTACATCCTTCTAGCAGATTTTTCTGTCTACTTGTTCTGTTGATTACCAAGAGAGGAATATTGAAGTCTCTAACTATAATTGTGGATTTGTTTATTTCTCCTTTCAGTTCCATTAGTTTTTGCTCCATTTACTTTAAGGCTCTTTTGTTAGGTGGATGCATGCACATTTAGAATTGTTGTGTCTTAGTGAGTTGACCCTTTTATTATTATGTAATGACCCTTTTTAGTCCTGGTAATTTTCCTTGCTCTTAAGTCTACTTTGATATGAATACAGATACTCC